TTTTTTTTTTTTTGCATAGAAACTCACTTTTTGATTTTTCTCTCCTCTCAATAGATTCTCTTTCTTCTCTCTTATGGCTCTGCTTTTTTTTTTTTCCAACAATTAGTCACCCCACTGTTTTCTTTCCTACTTTCCTTTTGCATTTCTTTGTTCTTCTTTTCTTCCTTATCTTTCAATCTCAATTGGTCATCATAGACCCGTTGTAGTGTTAATGGTATAAAAGTAACAGATTTTCCATCTTTTACAAAGTTGTACCTATTCTTGAATCCATCGTGTTTCACCTTCCTATTATACTGTCTGGCCTTCCCAACAAAATGTGCTCAACATGCATAGGAACTACATCAAACATCACTATACCTCCCATTGAGAAATTCACCAAAACGTGCATACATACCCTAACCTCTCCACATTCATCTAACCACTACAATTTATAAGGCTTAGTATATTTTATCGTAGTCAATCCAAAATTCTCAATAAGTATGGTACTAGCAATACTTTTACAACTACCCCCATCAATAATCAAACTACATACCTTTTTTGACATGGCATCTAGTATGAAAGATGTTCTTATGTTGCTGCTACATATCATCCAATTTAATTTGTGTATTGAGAGCACGCATCACCACAAGTAACTCACCTCCTAGCGGGTACTTTATTCCATCTCCTTTATTAGCATCCTCTAATGCGGGCATATTATCACCATCACTATCACTCACCACTTCTCCATTGTCACGCAAGGTCATTGCCATTTTGTTTGGATATTGAGAAGCAATGTGCCCCGACCCCTAACACCTAAAGCATTTAATATCCCGTGTCTTAGAAGGTTAAGAATTCGTTTTGGGTGTAATTTTGCTAACAACTTCCTCATTGTCACTTGGTGGTTTGATCTTACTATTCGAAACAGCCCCATCATTTCTATTATCATCCCACTTCGGTTTCCAAGAAGAGTTCGAATCCGAAGAACCCGATGAATATTTAGCTATCCACTTCCTCTTCAATTGCCTTTTCACCTTCATAACTACATGTAGCATGTCTTCCAACTCCACATAATGTTGCAACTCTGCCACATTAGCTATCTCCATATTCAAACCATTCAAAAATCGAGTCATGGTGGCCTCCCTATCCTCCTCGACATTCTTTCTAATCATAGTCTTGTGATAATCCTCCACACTTCTAGAACCATGGCAGAGGCTTTGCAATTTTTGATGAAGTACCATATAATAATGATTAGGCACGAACCTCTTCCTCATGATAGTCTTCAATTTTTCTCATGGATCAATAGACATCTCATGGTTCCTCCACTTGGATGTTATTACTCGATCCCACCAAATGATATCATAATCGGTAAATTCAAGCACCGCAATCTTTACATTTTTTTCCTCCAAGTTGTTGTGGCAATCAAATATCAATTCTACTTTCTTTTCCCACTCCAAGTATGCCTTCGGATCACTCCTTCCTTTGAATGAAAGAATTGTCATTTTGATATTGTTCATACTTCTATCAACACCATCTCCAACAGGATCTATATCCCTCATTTCATGTCTAACTCCCCTATCTCTCAATCTTCCTAACTCGACATACACCAATGCATCCTCATTAATGTTACTATCCACTTCTCATTCACCAGCAAAATCCGCTCGATGATCCCGCCTTCCTTGCCTTATTGCATTAGGAATATCTCTAGGTTGTTCTCTACGTAAGTTAGCAAGTAATGTGTATTGTCGATCGAATCTGTCTCACATGCTCAAACAACCTTTCGAACCGTCGTATCACCTCATCCGACATGTTGACTTGACTAAAATTCATTCTTGAAGCAGAGCCGTCTCTATCGACATCCCAATTCTAATTTAATATTTGCCTCACATGTATACGCTCGTGTATCACTCAAATTGGTTTTTTTTTCCTCTATTAGTCTCACCACTCTTACATTTTTCCCCTTAATGCTTTCTTGTAAGTGTTTCAAAGAACTAATTCAATCTCAATCAAAATTAATCACTATAGAGTTTTAAACAAAGATTCGAGTAAGAAAAATTGTCTCTAGAATTACTCAAAAAGTAAGAATTAACGCTTTGAATGGACACAAAAGAAATATTCAGAAATGTGTTTTTTGAATTGGAATTGGACACTTTTGAATCTTTTTTACTAAAAAAATGAAATTGTATGTTGTTGGCAATT